TWTTCAATTGAAGGYCTTTTCAAATAGCCAGGTCTTTAGGCTCCTGCRGAAGGATAGAAGGGAGGGCGCCTGTCTAATATCAACAGGGAGGTCGTTCCACAGCCGGGGGGCCACCACCGAGAAGGCCCTCTCTCTCGTCCCCGCCAAGCGTGCCTGCGACGCAGGCGGGATCGAGAGAAGGGCCTCCCCAGATGATCTCAAGGTCCTCGTGGGCTCATAGGCCGAGATGCGGTCCGAAAGGTATTTTACACTTGCCTGAAACAGACAAGAGTTCCTTCTCCCACCCGGGACTTTCCACAGATATATAAACCTCAATTGCCTAGTTTCCAATAGACCTCACAACCTCTGAGGATGCCTGCCATTGATACAGGCAAAATGTCAGGAGAGAATGCTTCTGGAACATGGCCATACAGGCTGTAAAACTCACAACAACCCGCTGGCAGAGAGGTTAGACAAGTGAGCCTCTCATGTAGAAAGTCCATGCATGTCTGCTCAGGGTAAACATGGGGAGCCGTCCTTTTCCCAGTGGGGTTCGAATCACTCAAGGGGTAATTTGTTTTGGACTATGTATTGTCGAAGGCTTTCGTGGCTGGAATCACTCAGTTCTTGTGGGTTTTTTCGGCCTATATGGCCATGTTCTAGGGGCCTCTAGAACATGGCCATATAGCCCGAAAAAACCCACAAGAACTGATTGTTTTGGACTGTTTGCTCCTGGTGGCTGAGACTGAAGACTGTGGTGTGTCTCCGTGTCAGGTCAAAAGAGACACGTTCACCCATTTTCTGTCTTTCTGGGTTCCTGTACATCGCAGCTTTCATGTTAATGACACACTTTTTTGTCCTGCATCATTTCGCGACACAGTAATTCAATGTTACCAGCAAACCAGGGGTTAAGCCAACCCCTGACAAGAGATACGGACACAGACATAAACTGTCCTATTGAAATGTTTGGGGAATTAACACATCCTGTGAAAATCTTTTCATATATATATTTGGAAATACATGATTTATTGCTTATTTCATATAGACTTGGATGTTTGTTGTTACATTCATATGACACACCGATGCACTGCAACGGACACACTTTAGGGATTTGAGCCATTTAGGAAATGCATGGGAAAACTTGGGCCCTCCTGGTGCTTTGGACTTCAACTCCCATAATTCCTAACAGCCGGTAGGCTGTTAGGAATTGTGGGAGTTGAAGTCCAAAGCACCGGGAGGGCCCAAGTTTGTACTTGCCTGATGCAGATGGACCCTTGCCCTTCCTTTTCCGAGCCTGTTTACTATTTTATTTATTTATTTACAGTATTTATATTCCGCCCTTCTCACCCCGCAGGGGACTCATATACATATACATTGCAAACATTCAGTGCCATAGACACACAACATATATAGACAGACACACAGAGGCTATTTAACATTCCACATTCCAATTTTCATGAGGGTATTCTGGCCACCAGGGGAGCTGTCACTTCACCATCCATTTATGACACTGATGGAGTACTTCCTCATTCTTTTGCCCGCTGCTGGAGATTTTTATGGCATCGTAAATTAGTTAAATTAGCCTCCCCACATAAGCGGTACCTAAATTTCCTACTTGACAGATGCGACTGTCTTCCAGGCTGCAAAGGTCGACAGCGAGCTACACAATGGTTGGAAGTTCACTCCGACCCAGGCTGGTTTCAAACTCATGATCTTTCAGTCAGTAAGTGATATAATGCAGTTGACTCCCAGCCAGTTGCGCCACAGACTTGTTCAACCATGTCTTTGGAAACTATTAAGCCAGGTTCCTCTTCATTAGTTCCTTCTTGTCCATTTATCATTTAGTGCTGAGCTAAGAAAAGCCACAAACATTTCATACTGTCACTCAGAGAAGCATAATTTTCCTTTTGTCTTTAGAAAAACACAATTATGGAGCTGGAAGAGACTCCGAGGGTCATCCAGTCCAACCCCACCCTGCCATGCAGGAAGACACAATCAAAGCACCACTGACAGATGGCCATCTAGCTTCTGCTTAGAAGCTCCTGAGGAGACTCTGTCCTATTCTGGGCACCACAATTGAAGGGAGATGTTGACTCTAAGCTGGAATGTGTCCAGAGGAGGGTGACTAACAGTCTGGAGAACAAGCCCTATGAGGAGCGGCTTAAAGAGCTGGGCATGTTTAGCCTGAAGAAGAGAAGGCTGAGAGGAAATATGATGAGGGCCATGTATAAATATGTGAGGGGAAGTCATAGGGAGAAGGAAACAAGCTTGTTTTCTGCTGCCCTGGAGACTAGGACACAATGGAACAATGGCTTCAAATGACAGGAAAGGAGATGTGTGGTGGAGGCTCCTTCTATGGAGGCTTTTAAACAGAGGCTGAATGGCCATCTGTTGGGGCTGCTTTGAATGCAATTTTCCTGCTTCTTGGCAGGGGGTTGGACTGGATGGCCCACGAGCTCTCTTCTACCTCTGTGGTTCTATGATTCCACCTGAACATGAGTAAGAACTTCCTGTGAGAGCTGTTCAGCAGTGGAACTCTGTGCCTTGGAGTGTGGTGGAGGCTCCTTCTTTGGAAGCTTTTAAACAGAGGCTGGATGGCCATCTGTTGGGGATACTTTGAATGGGATTTTCCTTCTTCTTGGCAGGGGGTTGGACTGGATGGCCCACAAGGTCTCTTCTAACTCTATGGTTCTATTATTCCACCTGAACATGAGGAAGAACTTCCTTTGAGAGCTGTTCAGCAGTGGAACTCTTTGCCTTGGAGTGTGGTGGAGGCTCCTTCTTTGGGGGCTTTTAAGCAGAGGTGGGATGGCTTTGAATGCGATTTTTCTTCTTCTTGGCAGGGGGTTGGACTGGATGGCCCATGAGGTCTCTTCTAACTCTATGGTTCTATGATTCCACCTGAACGTGAGGAAGAACTTCCTTTGAGAGCTGTTCAGCAGTTGAACTCTCTGCCTCAGAGTGTGGTGGAGGCTCCTTCTTTGGAGGCTTTTAAACAGAGGCTGGATGCCCGTCTGTTGGGGATACTTTGAATGGGATTTTCCTTCTTCTTGGTAGGGGGTTGGACTGGATGACCCATGAGGTCTCTTCCAACTCTATGATTCTATGATTCCATGATTCCACCTGAACATGAGGAAGAACCTCCTGACTGAGAGCCGTTCAGCAGTGGAACTCTCTGCCTCTAGGTGTGGTGGAGGCTCCTTCTTTGGGGGCTTTTAAGCAGAGGCTGGATGGCCATCTGTCAGGGGTGCTTTTAATGTGATTTTCCTATGACTATGATTCTATGACTCCATCACACTCCCAGCAGAAGCATCTTCCACTATTGAACAGCTCTTTACCATTGGGAAGTTCTTCCTCGTGTTTAGGTGGAATCTCTTTTCCTGAAATTTGAAACCATTGCAATAAATGGTCAGTGTTGAAGAGCCTTCAGGTGTATAGCCCAACTAGTTAGATTACTGGCTCTGGCTTGAAGCCTGCCTTGTTATCCCATCCAAATACTCACCAGGAACAATCCTGCTTGGCTTCAAAGACTGGACAAGATTGTGGTGGAGATACTGTATTGGAGCAAAGCTCTCTCTGTAGAGTTCCAGATTTTGTCATTCAGCAGCTCATGGGTTTCCCAAAGATGGCTATTGCTTCTGCTCATTAGTTAAAAGGAGAGGTTTTGGATTATGAAGAAGCAGGTAGACTCAGTTGATAGGGAACGAGGCAAAAGATGGAGATCACCCTCTTTTCTCCCAGGAGCTCAAGAGTC